TGAGTTTCAGATCCTCCCCATATTAAAGGCTTATTTGTTATGGTCCTGGTCTGGTCCTGGTTTTTGGCTCTTTTTATCTAACGCTTTGTTGGAAACTCAGGGTTGTTGTATGATAATGACATTTGGGTTTTGTTAGTAGTGTTACTTTTGAAAAGAAACCTGATTTCACAATATCAACCAGTCAAATATGAGGTAGAATCCAAACAGACAGCTCACTATCCACCAGAGCAGTTCTGTAGAACACTAGAAACTCAGAGTGATGGATCCTAATGGTGTAACATTGTTGCCAAAAAAAAAAAAGAATAAACAAAAACTAATATCGTGGTTGTGTTTAAAGACTCTGCTGATGCTGATTGTATATGGGAAGCTATGCGCTTATTCTTTCTAGTGAATTGGTCGATGTCTTTAGACAATGAATCTCAGGTTGGAAAGTTCTCACCAGCCCTATATGAAATCTGTGGTGAGATGTCCCTGTGCTTTCATTCACACTGATAAATAAATGCGTTTTCCCATTTTCCCTTTGGGCTGAGATGAGCAGCTTGCTGAATCGGTCTTTTTGAAGGTGTGGATCAATTTTTGGAATTACATAAATTTCCCAAAATAAGTAAATTAGTGGTGATTTATTACTTGCTAGATAAAAGAAAATTTTAATCACCACAGGGCACTTACTCCTCCCACTTCCAACTTTCATAATGGTAGCAGATGAAAGGAGTACAAAATTTTATGCATTATGGCCCCTCACATAGTAACCTTTCCATCCTTTAATAGTTTTCCAATGTGCAGATGGGAAGCCCGTTTAAAAATACATTATGATTCTATGTATTTCCTTGGATTGAATGGAACTTAAGTGGAGCTATTGCAGAACACAAATTTTTTTAAACTATCTTTTTTTCCTTTAATTATATTCATGTGTTAGGTACTTTGGCTGATTTATGCCAGATCCATATCAATGCATTTACTGTAGATGTTAATAAAGAACTGGAGGCTGCCCACAAGCCTCCTAGGAGATAGAAGCCCAGACTGTCTTACTGTTTTCAGGATTATTTTTAAAAGCAATGGGGAGAATGAAGTTACCCCTTTAGTTACAGTAAATTCCTCCAAATTCACATGATTCTACCATTATAATCAATGTGTTGGAAAAGTAGAATGAAATGAAAACACTACTGACCTGCTTAATGGTCTGGGCTTTCAGTTATAAACACCAGTTACAATTTTATTTCCACTGAATAGTTAGAAGCAGAGCACATATTTGCTCCTGTTTACTTATTCATTTATGTTTTTAAGAAGGTGTACCAACTTTTTAATTGAATATATGCTCCTGAAAAGTTTCTCCTCCTTATGGCATTTGGGAAGCTCAGTCATAAAATTTGCAGCCTTCCTAGGATTACAGAAACCAGAATGATGGGATTTTCTTTGCCACTTTTAAAGTGTAGTGGTGCCAAAAATTTCAATTGCCTTTTTTTTTTAAGGTATTAGAAAAGTTCTGACAGGAGCACAACTAATTAACTGATAGTTGTCTTCCTTTGGCAAGCTCTGATCTTCCTGCCCTTAATTTGCTGTTCTCTGTTCAGTGTTCAAAACATTACACATACTAGTTTTGTTTTTTCATTTATGAGCAAATTTGAATAGTTGCACTTGAAATTGTAGCTATTTTAGTAGGTGAATTTGAGGTTGTTGGACTACCACAAGGAACTGCTGAGAACTCAGAAGCAATAAATCCACGATTGCCTTTGGATTTTAGGCAGAAAAAAATGAAACAGTTAAAAAAAAAAAAACCCAAAAAACTATAGCCACTGCCTTAATAAAATACTGTTTGACCTCTTATAAGATGCCTTATCCATGAGGATTGGTGCACAATCATTTTCTTTATTATTGAAAGAAGTACAACTGATGCCCTAAGAGAGTAAAATACTAGACTAGAGTAGAATAACAGAAATGATAAATCATACATGATGAAGCTTTGTAACTGACACATTTCCCCTGAATCTTTGCAGTGGGAAGAAGTGAGTATCATGGATGAAAAAAACACACCTATCCGAACCTACCAAGTGTGCAACGTGATGGAACCGAGCCAGAATAACTGGCTGCGAACTGATTGGATCACCCGAGAAGGGGCCCAGCGGGTGTACATTGAGATCAAGTTCACCTTGCGGGACTGCAATAGCCTCCCAGGAGTCATGGGAACCTGCAAGGAGACGTTTAACCTGTACTACTATGAATCAGACAACGACAAGGAGCGTTTCATCAGAGAGAGCCAGTTTGCTAAGATTGACACCATCGCTGCTGATGAGAGCTTCACCCAAGTGGACATCGGCGACAGAATCATGAAGCTCAACACTGAGATCCGGGACGTAGGGCCCCTGAGCAAAAAGGGGTTTTACCTGGCTTTTCAGGATGTAGGTGCCTGCATTGCCCTGGTGTCAGTCCGCGTCTTCTACAAGAAATGTCCACTCACCGTTCGCAATCTGGCCCAGTTTCCAGACACCATCACAGGGGCTGATACCTCCTCCCTGGTGGAAGTTCGAGGCTCTTGTGTCAACAACTCGGAAGAGAAGGATGTGCCAAAAATGTACTGTGGGGCAGATGGTGAATGGCTGGTCCCCATTGGCAACTGCCTATGCAATGCTGGGCATGAAGAGCAGAATGGAGAATGCCAAGGTAAGAGGAGCCATATTGTACTTTTCATTAGGGCTCAGTGCACATAATTAAATCAGAGATGAGACTAAATGGAGTAAAGCCAGTAATTAGCAGCTCCTGTGGGATGTGGTGGGACAGAGGAGTCTAATGAGTAAGTGCTATAGCTCCAGGTGGTGAGGCTGAGACTTTTCTAACACTGGTGATATAAATGATGCTGCTGCAATCAGCGGAAGGCCAAGCACATTTGCTAACCGGTGGAGTCTGCTTGATGTGCCCTTGGAAATGTAAATGAACAGGCTGAAGAAATGGGCTTGATTGATCCATACTTAAGGAGGGGGGGCACATTTTGGAGCCATAGTTTTCCTATGTATAGACTTGGTAAAATGACAAAGGTGGTGAATGTCTTTCATCCTAAGTATATGTGCTTGAATGATTTAAGTGTGAAATCAGGGTTGTGTTGTTCCAGTTCCCTGCCGCTGATTAAAATCAAGCTACATAAGTAAAGTTCTTTTCCCCCTCTACCTGTATGTAGACCAGTGAGGAAGTAACAAAGTGGAAAGAGAGCTTTTCAAGAATGTCCTCTTCACTGAATACTCATTGACAGGGTCTCTAAGTGAAATCAATCCTAACAGAAGACCTCTTTATTTCTCTTAGGAGAAGATAATAGAGTTAGTAAGAGTCTTCTTATTTGATCTGTGGTCAGAGGCAATAGTAAATTGCAATCTATTTGGGTTATTGCGTTTCTAAAAAAAAAAAATAATGTATTTTTATCATGTTAATTATGGCTTATCATATTACCAAGGTTTTTTTTCTCACATAAAGATCAATGTATGCAATTCATTCTTGCCTTATTTCCCCTTTCTATCAGAAGGCTGGGGAGGTTGTGAAGTCTTACTTCAAAACACTTGTATCTGAGTAGGGGATGAGACTACCCATATTGACACAGATGGCTCATGTATGTGTGCTTTGAGTCTTAGCAAAACCAGCTATCTCAAGTTTTTATTTTTAGTGGTTGTCAGTAACCTACTGCTGCCTCCCTGGTGATGGTGATGGTCCTTGCTCCACAGTTACAGTGTAACCCTGTCCCCTCCAACAGATCAGAGCCATCTTTGCTCCTGGTGATTGTTGAGCTGTGGTCTGCATCCTCACATGGCTTGACTGATTTGGTGATTAGAGGGACTGAAATAACTGACTGACCGAAAAATTTCCCTGGCATTTCAGCCACCTGAATGACAGGGTGGGATTAACTGTGGTGCATTCTACTTGATAGACTGGGAGTCAGCAGTCATAACCCAAAGAAAACTGCATTCTTGGTAATTTGGTGTGACTAAGTTGTGTGCTTCTCTTTTTCCTGGTTTGTATTTTTCCCAAGTGCCAGTACCAATTTGCTATTGTGATTTCCAGGAGCAAATAATATTGACTGTCCTTGATTTCAATGCAAAGTAAATAGAATAAGGACTGGCTTAGAGTAAGAAAGGAGAACATGTAAACTTAAAACTTTGCAAATTGGAATTTAAAAGTTTTCTATGTAGATTAATTTTCTGCTGTTTTATTTGCTTTTGACTGGGCAACTCTTTCATAAGCTATACTGAATGAATTGTACTCTGGAGTATATGCTGGTATTAATATTAGAAAATATGTGAGGGCATTGTTATTGGCAACTAAATTATAAAGATCATAGCCAGAATGGGGAAATGAACAAGACAACGACGCCACATGTCATTTTAGAGTAAGTTATTCTGCCTTTCGACTTTTGTAAGACAAGACTTTGCATATGTTCATGTCAAGATTCTTCTATGTATTAAAAAAAACCACACACATTGGTTTCCATTTCCTGCTAAAATGTTCACACTTCCAGCATTAGCTCATCTCCCTGTATCTAACTCCATTGATTTTCAATTGTCATTGCGCCCAGTAACTCAGACTTTGTGCAACTTCTTGGCATTTTTATAGCCCAAATTAGGAGAAAAAGAGGAAAAGATGTAAGGTAAAGTGAATGTAAAGGCAATTGAACATTTTAGTGCTTTGCTTTATGAAAATAATCTAGGGAATCCACTTAATCATGTGGTTCATGGAAGGGGATGGGCCTGATGTTTCAGGTCCTATCTGTTTCTGAGCAACCCCTTTCAAGCTGTGAATGGGAGGGGAAAGTTCATTGAGTCTTTTTTTTTTTTTTTGAGAAACTTCAGTATTTTCGTACATGTAATCGGGGTTTTAAAAATTTTATTTTGTTTTTCTCATAAAAGGATTAACTCCTTTAAGAAGAAACTTCTTGCACAAAACCTTGTACTCTGCTTACTAATTTTATTTCTACCAACTAAGAATATCTGATTTTATGAAAGAAGGAAAAATCTGAATGGCAAGGATTCTTAAATTCCAAACTTAAAAAAGATGGTGCAACACCATAAGAATCCCAAATAACCATCATTGATCCTTGACTTTACTGGTATAGGAAGCACAGCAGAAAAATATGTGGAGACAAGAAAATCCGTCTCAGTTTGGTCACTTAGTAGCTGTATGATTTTGGGTATATATCTTAAACCTTCTGAACCTTGGTTTGTTCACCTATAAAATGGGATGAGAAAAGTGTTACTTAACTCACAAGCTTGCTATAAGACTTAGTGATTGACAATTGGTAAAGGTCACCTTGTAGATCATAAAACACTAATAGGTGTGAATTTCTTTGATCATCTGGAGTCCCCAAGGTCATAGCTGTTGATGTTAAGGATGCTGAGTTGAAACTTGAAACTATAAAAGGAAATTATTTTTCAGCTATTCCAAAGCCAAGGCTAGGATAGCAAGCACCTCTGTATCCTTTGCTCTAACAGAGAATAATGACCATTTTCACACTTCATATTGAAAATGGTATTTGGAAAGTGTCTCCCTCCCACCACCCACCCTTCACAAGAAAAAGAACTTTCTTTTGAATGAGAGACAAGTGCTTTGAGGATGGGACAAAAAAAGTGTAAAGACAGCTTAAGAAGGAATGTAGAAAAGAATGGGCCAAGTCTTCAGAACTGTGGCACCAGGTTCCTCCCCATTGTTTACAATGAGTCCGGGGTGGCAGGACAAATAGAAGGACAGGTGAAAGGTCATCTACTTCCTCATCCATCTTCCTTGGGGTCTGGGAGGTCAGAGTGAAGATTGATTAAGATCTTAAATGTTTGACAAAGGATCTATGGGTAAAAATGGCTAGGGCAAGGTGGGGCCTCTGGTCTGCTGTTGTTTGAATCTAACCCTGGTCATCCATCGGGGACATCGGGACAGAACTACACTTCCTCTTGGAGTTCTTAGGCCCGGTAGGACATGCTAATGTGAAGGAGCCGGGAAGGTGTCGAGAGTGACAGGGAGATGGTGAGCTTGCCCCCTGTGCAGCTGCAAGTTCATTGTGTGCTTCAATAGCATTTTCTGAAATGATTTGGTTTGGTCTCCTTAAGACAACAAAGAGTGTGAGCCACTTGTCTGGCCTCTTCACAGCCGCCTGAGCAGAGTGAGCACTGGCTAGGGACTGGGTGCCAAGGGTGACTGAAGAGTGCTAGCGTAGACACCAGGCTTGGTCAGACTGTCAAAGCAAAGATCGAAAATCCAACTCAAGCCTGCTTCTTTGGTGTACCTCTGGTGAGGAAATGTGCCTCATGATCTGGGGCTGTGCTCTTTACTGCAAGAAACAGCAAGCTGAAGCAACAGAGGGAAGCGTCCTTTACTCTTTACTGGCTTACTTTTTGCCAAAGAAGTTAGAGGAGAGGCCTGCCCAGATTTGCTTTTTAGAGAATACTAACAAGCAGTAATTTCCGGAGAATATGTGTATAAATAATACTAGCAAAAAGAAAACATTCTTACAGGGTTATTCTTAAGGCCAAAACATCACGCCTGTGACAAAAGTAAGCTAGGCAGGATCATGGATTGGTAAAATATATAAATTGTATGGGCATGGAGGTGTGCTTCACTGGTTCAGTGCTTCCGACCATTAAGCCTTCAACCTCCACCATCACACCCCAAAATTAATTAATTAAAATGTATATATACGCATGCATATATATAATTTCACTATGAATTGAATTATTATCTAGGACCCACACTGAATATTACATCCATGGTGTGTTCATCTTGACAAAAGAAGTCTCATTAAAAGCTCTTTTAAGAAAACAAGATGGAAATGACCTGGTGGCTCTAAAATAAAATGAAAAAAAAAAAAACATTAACTTTATGCTCTGAAGAAAGGGTGACAGCTCTGTCACAAAAAGCTTACTTTGTTTTTCTAATATGCTATAAAAGGACCATCGGAAAAAGACACAAGGGAGAGGAAACATTTAAAGTACAGTTCAGAGAGATGCTGTTTTATATCCCTTCCACTTTTGAAATTCTTCTTCTGCCTTTGAATCATGTCTTTAAGAATCAGTTGCTTGAATCACAGAGCTGCTTTTTATCTCCAACTTTGAAGCATGGCTGTGATCACTGAATAACGTAATTCTTTATCTATGAGAAGAGCAAAGTTTAATTATTGTCCTTTTTTCTGTTTTTTTTTTTTCCTTCTTTTTGTGACCAGGTTTTTTTTTTTGGTGAATGTGAATCATGCAGGGGCCTCTATTTTGGGTTCACCAAAGTCTCATCTAAGAATTCAGTTAGAGATTTTTGAAATATGATATTTAAGATTTGATGGCTTATTTTAGTCCAACTGAGTTTCCATGAACCTTTCAAAAGTGAATTAGGACATAATTATTCTGTTAATACTTGAGCCTTTAGGAAAAAAGACTGATTAAATGGGTTTTCAGTTACCATGAAGCAGAGCAGAGGTGGCTTGATACAAGCCTGACTTTTCACGCCATTGAACTTCACCACTCATTTTTTTTTGGAATTTAATTGATGAACTTAATATTACTAAAGAGATGCATGCTTTCAGAAAAATTTCCAAAGTAAAATTGTATAAAGTAAAAAATGAAGTCTCCCACTTCCTCCACACAGCCCGGAATTTTTCGGATTCCCATTCCAACTTTGTATGAGTTAATATTTTTCATGTTTTT